GGCACCCACAGGACCAGGGGCACCCACGGGACCAGGGACACCCATGGGACCAGGGACACCATGGGACCAGGGACACCAAGGGACCAGGGACACCACGGGACCAGGGACACCATGGGACCAGGGACAGCACGGGGCCAGGGACACATGGCCCCACCAGGCAGGACACGGCCCCAGCCACGGGGCTGCAGCAGCACTGGCAGAGCCAGCCCAGCACGGGGCAGGAATGTGAGCCCAAGGCACCCCCAGCCCTGCACCTGCGGCTGCAGGCACGGAAATGGCATGAAAAATAATTTACTAAATTAAATAAAATATAGACTAGTTTATACTTACCATGGAGTGCCAGAATGGATTGTGTTGGAAAGGAACCTAAAGCTCATCTCATCCCACCACCTTTGCCATGGGCAGGGACACCTTCCACCATCCCAGGTTGCTCCAAACCCTGCCCAACATGCCTTGGAACACTTCCAGGACTGGGGCAGCCACAGCTTCTCTGGAAACCTGTGCCTTGCCACCCTCACAGCCAAGAATTTCCTCCAAATATCACCTCTAATTGTACCTTCATTCAGCTTTAAAAGGCTGCCTAACATTTTTTACAAACGTTTGTATAGGTATTAGCTTATTCCTATGCCTATTAATATGATCTCTTTAACTACAGAAAATACATTAGAGATTATATATATTATATATATAATATAATATATCTTATGTTCTATATATTACATGCTACAGTATTTCAAATTGCATATCTAATATTTGATGTTATGCCTGTCTGTATGTTTCTATTAGCTACAGCATATGTTATAGGTATTAAATACAGATACAATGAGTATATATTATTACATTAAGGAAAATATATGCAATCTGTGATCTGTAATTTAGGTATAATACAAGGTATATAATGTGATATGCATTATATATTTTACTATGTATTATATAATATATGCACTATATATTTTATCTTATTAATACCTGGCTTTGAATATTAAATACTGACTATAAAGGTAATAATTCTATTCAAAAATTGGTTATAGGTTAATACAACCTTTATATTATACAGGTATATCTATATAAGCACATATCCTTGGTATATGTTCTAGCTATATGTACATATGACATAAACTATAACATTACTTTGCTAACTGTAATACTGTGTGCATATATGTGCAGTACACTTTTATTTAAAAATGTATATAAGAGAAGTATATAAATCATATCAGTGATGTATGAATTCCGTATAACATGATATAATGAACACGCAATATTTGGCACATTAATGATGTGCATCATGAAATATTCAGTGCAGTATATAGATACAAAAACTGTATTTCAGACTATGTATGTACAGTGGATATGCACACATATGAGCAGCTACACTGTCCTCCACAGCACACAAATCCTGGCTGCAGAGCTGACAAAACCTCCTGTCAGACAAGAGTGTTTCATTACATCAACATTGGTGATGTATCAGTAATTATGTATAATGCATATATGATATTATGTGTTGTAGATAATATATTTAATATGCATTGTCTAAGTGGCAATACTTAACAGACATATATTAGTATCTATTGTATAATATAATATGCTTTGATATAATACACATAATATACATGATCTACATATTCTGAATTCTACTTATGTAGATCATCTATATAGAATATACTGCTGTAAAAGGAATATATTTTTAACATTTCTTTTATCACAGAATCCTAGAATAGTTTGGGTTAGAAGGGAGCAATAAAGTTCATCTCATTGCAGCCCCTTGCTGTGGGCACCTTCCACTATCCCAAGCTCTGAACCCCATCCGACCTGGCCTTGGACACTTCCAGGGACCCACGGGCAAATGCAAAATATAATTTATTGTATGTAATAAATTCTGATTTTCTTCTGTGTGTGTAACTAACCCAAAACCTCCCAGCTCAGATGCCCCCAGCTGTACATCATTTTCCTCACATTTGTCATTGAACTGGTATTGCACTACAGGCAATTTCCCTCTAAAACACTGTAAAATGAGCCAATAAACACACCACGGCCCCATACCCTGAGAAAGCAGAACTGTTTTAACCTGCAGCTGAGCCATGCTCCCTCTCTCCCCCAGCCCAGTGCCCACAGCAGCAGAGCCTCTGCTCTGGTTAAATCCTCCCCATCACTCCCCTTCCCCATTATTCCCTAAGGAAGGCTGAAAAGCCTCAGCAGAGCGGCACAGCACAGGAGCTGGGCTCTGCATGCCCTCGCCTCCAGAGCTGCCAGGGGACTTTATTAGACCTTTAGAAGAGCGGTTTATTTCTGAGAGGAACAGGTGGTTTAAGCAGGCCTGGCTGCTGCAAATCCCAATTACCGTGTCGGGAGGATGCGCTCCTGGGAGGGTCCCTGTGCCGCTGCGGGGCTCCCGCTGCTGCCGCCGTGCCCGGCTCTGCCCGGCTTCGGTCCCTGGCTGCCTGCTGAGGAGAAAACAGCACGGTCAGAGCAGCTCTGCGGGCAGCCCAGCACCTGCACCCAATGGCACAGCTAAGAACCGAGCCTGGTGGTGGGCTGGTGTGGAGCCGGTACCACAGGACAGCCCACGCTTGGCATGTCCCATCTCAATGATCGATGCATCAAATGTTGCCAGAGGCAGACCTTTGTTATGTGGACCGTAAATGACATTTTATTAAAACCATTTATAGCCCTAATGAGGCTTCTTCCCTGCATGGAAGGATCTGAGGTGTTTAATGCCACATGCAGGATGTACCTGCACACCTGGATCCTTCACCGAGGGGAGCTGCCCGGCTGCTTCAGGGAACTGCTGTCCCACCCAGCCCAAAACACACCGCAACCCAGCCCAAAACACACCGCAACCCAGCACTCCTGACCCGGGAGCGATGGGGGTGTGTTAGCAGCAGCAAACCACAGCGCCCTGTGGCACCCTGCAGGCACTGCACGCCCCAGAGAAACATCTGTGACTCCACGAGCCATTTCCCAGCTCATCAACAGCAATGCCGCTTTTTAAACAGGCTTGTGTTGTGTGAGGAAGAGTCTGAAATCCAAGGCAAAAGCCCATCTTTGTCCTGTTTCCAGGCTTGTCCCAATCCCATGGATACCTCCCAGCTGCCCACCCTAAAAACAGACGGGAGGTGCTGGGCAGGGCCCCCCAAAACCTTGAGCTGAGCGCAGCTGTGTTTCCCAGTGAGCCCATCCAGCGAGGCAGCTGACAAATGCCTTACTGCACTGATGGCTGCGAGGGACCGTGGTGTTGGTACCAGAACTTGTAAAAACCTCCCCCGAGAACAAGCAGCCTCCAGCCAGCCTTCCCCTGTGGACAGGAGCAGCTGGCCCCAGCTCCCCAGCAGCTCTGAGCTCTGGCGCAGGGATGGTGTCCGTGCTGCATTTCTCAGGAGCCGGCAGGTTCCTCTATCTCATCTCCCAGTTCCTTTCCCTGTGCTCACAACACTCGGTCCCAGACCACGCATTTGGCTCTCGGTGTGCTCAGAGAGGAGGAAGGCTCCGGCACAGCGGGCAAACCCCTCTGCCCGAACGCACAGAGCGTGAGCAGCCTCTGTGCCAGCTACCTCCACTGCATCACGCTCGGGGCAGGATCAGTGTTTTCCGTGGTGCCCAAACCTGTTCCTGCTGGATGCACCGAGAGCCATCAGCAATTGATTTGTTGGCTGACAGCAGGAGGCTTTGTTTGCGCAGCGCTGGCCGGCCGTGCTGCCAGGACCTGGCACCCACCAGGCAACACCTGCATTCCCAGGGGCTGCTACTGAGAGCACCCCGGCTTCAGCCGGACTGCTCGGCCCCCGGGACAGCCACCGAGCTACACCCGGGCTTGGGACTTCACCGACACAGAGCAGGAGACAGAGCCCAGCACAGGCCCGGTGCAGGGGGCACGGGGAGTGGGATGGTGCAAGGCAGGAACCGGTAAGCGGCAGGGACAGATCCACCCCGAAAATGCTGTCCAAAGGATGCTGGTGTGAGTGGGAGGCTTTGTGATCTGTCCCGGCATCTGCAATGCCCTTTACTGCCAGGTGGCAAGAGATGCAAAACACTGATGCTGATGGCTCCCTGCAGAACCCCTCGGGCAGTCTCACCCTCACAAGGAACCTCTCCAGAAACCCCTCGGGCAGTCAGGGCTCCCCCTCACAAGGACCCTGCGGTGCAGACGAGGGAGAAAGGCTGCAGACACAAAGGCACAGCAGCCCTGCCCAAGCTGCTGCAGCCCAGGGATGCCAAAAGCAAATTACGCCCCTTTTACAGGATGTTTGTGAACAGAGCCATTTCCAGTGTACGCCGCCCTTACTCCTCCCCAACACAGGAGTCTCCACTGATCACCCTTTCTGCTCAGCAGGAGATGCAATAGTCGGTGCCCGGTTACCAAGACAGTTCAAAAATCCTGGGGAATTCGGGCCCCCACAAATTCCAGCTGGTTCTTAGCAGGACAGACGTGGATTTATTTGATTGTTAGGAAATGGACAGCGGTATGAAGCTGTTATTTTGTGTCCTGTTGGCGCCACAGGCTTTGAGCACGGATTTCAGCAGGGACACTGCTGTGACAGTGGATGGAGCCATTAGGCTTCTCCAGAGGATGTGGCGGGCATAGTTCTGGAAATGGTGTCCAGTGGCCCCAGAGGACGGCCACATGAGCTGGCAAAGTCCCCTCAGGGAGTGGAAAGCCTGCTCCAAGGACAGCTGCGACACCGTCTGTGACAACCCAGGATCTGGGGCTTTCCAAGGCCAGGGAAGCCAGGAAAGGCAAAACTGAACCTCTTGCCGGGCAGGCTTTGCTGCCTGTGCCTCTCAGACTGTGCTCCTTTCCAGTATATCGATTTACAGCTACAACCACAGCTCTGCCTATGCCTGAAGTCAGCCCTGGCACTACCAGTTTTGTTTCTTAGAGTCAAGACACCAGGAGCATACCCAAACACTGGTACTGTTCATCCTGATGGAAGAAGAAAAAAAAACAAAGCTTTCTCTAGGAAGATGTTCTCTCTCTACAACCTTTGCTTTATCATAGAATACTCAGCCAGTTCCTGGGAAACTTTTCTCCAGGAAGCTCCACCACCTGCCCTTCCCACAGTGAATCACGGTTAGGAGCCTTTAGGTGAGAGGAAATGGCAGAAACAGGCTGGAAACCTCTTCCAGGGAGCCAAAGCCTCAAAGGCATTGCTACCCCAAGACAGAGCAGCCTCTATGCTCACACCAAGCCCTCAGAGCCCCCTGGTCCATCATACACCAGAGTTTGGGAGCAGGGATTTGCTCTTGGGACTGCCAAGCAGATTTGCATGCCATGAAGTTAGCTCCGTACCTGCTCCTGCTGGCAAAGGGGGAGGATTATACAGGTGCATACAACACCTGTCTGTGAGAGGGGTTTCACAAACCCAGCACATACCATCCCCACTTACACAGATTTTACTACAAATCTGACCAAACCCATCAGATCCCCACATATAAACACGAGCCCTGGAGATGGATCTATCTGCACAGATACATACATATCTATATACAGTTACTGAAGGATGCTGCAGAAACCCCACTGCAGGGCACAAGGACCAGGCAGGAGCTGGCTCCAGCCCTACCAGGAAACAGAGAAATGCCTGCCCTTCCTTGCACCAGGCTCACAGCCGACAGCCAAAGCAGGATGCTGCTGCTCTGCTGAGCTCCACACCTCGGCGCCAAGCACACGCAGCAGCCACCCAGCAAACAGCACAGCCCTCCTAGGCAAGGATTTCTACCAGCTCTCTGCTTACAGGTGCTGCCTCTCCTCGAGCTTTCCCTGCAACACCTTCCAGGGAAGGTCCCTGGCAGCTCTCGCTGCGCCCGGTGCCGGGCTGGGGCTCCAGCCCACGGCCAGGGGACCCCTTTTTGCTCCGAGGGCAGCCTTCCCCCCGAGCAGCCACGCCGCACCCTGCTCTTCTCCTCCCTTTAATTCCTTTTTAATTAATCTTGTCAAGCGGCGCAGAGCAGGCTGGTGCCTACGGAGGCACCCTGCCAGCTGCAGTGCGGAGCCGGGTGCCAGCCCCCCCCGAGCCCCCAGGGCCAGCCCGGCAGGGAGAAGCAGAAGAGGTGGGGGCACGTTTGAATTTGAAAATATTTTATTTGAATAGTAAATAATTATACAGTTGAAACAGTTCTATCGAAGCACTCTATAAATAGCTAACAGTTAAGAAAATAATGTGTGTAGAAAAAGAGATTGCATCTAAAAGTAAGAGCTGTTGGTTGCACAGGATAAAATGGTTAAGATCATGTGTTATTCTAGGTATAAAAGTTAAAACCTTTTTAGCAGATCTCTTAAGAAAAAAAGATCTTCTAAAACGCACAGTGAAATGGCAGGTGGGGAGACAAAAAAAGCACTTTAGAATATCTGCAATCAAATAATATCAATCTTCATAATTAATATAAATAAATAACGAATAAATAACATAATTACTCAAACCAACATATACAGATAGACAACGCATGAGCTACCTTAGGGCAAAACGAACAGAAAGTTGGCATGTCACAGTTAAGGCAGTTTCTACAGCATTTTCTGGAGACCATCAACAGCAGAGTCAAGGCATTTGTGGCTACACTAAAGGAAACGCTCGTTTCTCTCGAGCAGTTTGATCTGTTCACATCGATAAAAACCAGAGCGAAGAAACAAAATTTAAAAAAAACAAAACAAAACAAAACAACAAAAAAAAAAAGAAAAAAGAAAAAGAAGAGAGAGACCCCGGGAAGGTAAGTGTAAAGCCAGATTCCAGCAGGTCACAAGCCGTATTAAAGCTAATCGTGTGGCTGCCCCGGGGGAGCGGCGCGGGGCGGCGGGGAAGGCACGGGCGGCTCAGCAGGCGGGGCGCAGCGGCACCTGGAGCAGGATGACCTGCCGGTTCTCCGAGGGGTGGCACTTGTTGATGTGCCGGGTGAGGCCGGGAGAGCTGTAGAAGGTGGCCGGGCAGTACTTGCAGGGGAAGACCTGGGCGGCGTGCAGGAGGCGCAGGTGCCGCTCCTGGCTGCTCTTGCTGGGGAAGGTCTCCCCACAGACGGGGCAGAGGCGGCACTCGGAGGCAGGCAGCTCCTCGGCGCTGGGTTCCGGGGCCGGTGCGGGTGCCGGGGCCGGTGCGGGTGCCGGTGCGGCGTGCCCCAGCAGGTGCTTGCGCAGGTAGGCTTGCCGGCGGAACCGCTTGGCGCAGCGGGGACACTCGAAGAGCCCCTCCTCGGAGCCGGCCTCCGAGGCTCCGCCAGGGCTCGGTGTGTCCCGCTCGCTGCCGCTGCCGCCGCTCGCCTCCTTCGGCGTCTCCTCCGCCGGGGCCGAGCCCGGGCCCGCGGCCGGTGCCCGGCCCGCCTCGGGGCCGCTCTTGGTAGCGGGTGGACGCGGTTTGTGCCAGCGCCGGTGGGAGGCGAGGTTGGCGGGGCAGGAGAAGACCTTGTCGCACTCGGGGCAGCGGTACTCCACCCGGACGATACGGGAGCAGCGATGCTGCGCCAGCGCGAAGGGGTCCCCGTACTCCTCCTTGCAGAGCTGGCAGATGAACTCGCCCAGCGGACGGGCGCAGCCGCCCCGTGCCTTGGCCGGCGCCTCCACCGGACCCTCCTTGATGCGCAGCCCCAGCACGGGAGAGGTGGTCACTTCGTCCTCGAAGGTCAGCTTGCGGATCGCCTTCGTCTTCTTGCTCGACGGAGCCTTCTGCCGCCCGGCTTCGGACGCGCCCGGCGGGCGCTTGGCGGGCAGCGGGCGGCCCGAGGCTGGCGGCGCGGCCGGGGCGGGCGGCGCGGGGGCTCCACCGGGGCCGGGGTGGGCGGCGGGCGGCTCGGCGTGGCCAGCAGCGGCCCAGAGCTTGAGGTCAGCCGGGGCGAAGAGGATCGGGTCCATGGTGCCGGGCACGGCCGGCGCGGGGAAGGACTCGGCCGAGACGGGCGAGCCCAGGCTGAAGCCGCGCTCCAGGTACTTGTCCCTGCTAACGGGCCGCGTGGGGCTGTACAGCGCCTGCACGGCGGCATCGGGCGTCCCGAACGGCACCGGCGGCGGCGAGTCCCGCGGCGGGGGCGGCGGCGCGGCGGGGCAGGCGGGCGGCGGGGCGGCGCCGGCTGGGAGCGGCGGGCCGGCGGCGGCCTCGCGGCAGCAGCGCGCCCGGTAGGACACGGGGGTGGGCCGCCGGCTGCGCTTCACCAGGAAGCCCCGGGGCATCTTCGCGCCGGCTCCGGGCCGGCGGCGGCCGCGACGGAGGGCTCCTCGCTCTGCCCGCGGCGCGGCCGCCGCCGCCTTTAAGCGGGCCGGGGCCATTGTTCGGGCCGGCGGCGGCGGGACGGGCCAATCAGCGGCGGCGGCGGCGGCGCGGCCGCACCTGAGCCCGGACCGGCACACGCCCGGCCCCGCCCCCGCGCCCGCCCGGCACGCGCGGCCTTTGTGTGCCGCCCCCCGCGCCGGCAGCGGGGCGGGCAGCGGGGCCGGCAGGCTCGGCACGGAGCGCCGTCCGCTCCCGGCGGGCGCACTGCTTGC